TTTTTTTGTGATGTACCTCAATAAAAGGACTTCTGTTGTTCCAATGACTCAATGTTATGTTATAAAACAAATGATACACGCCATAACGTGTACTATTGAGTTATGGATGCACTTGGGAGGTTTGCTAAGCACTCAAGAAGCTAGAGTCGCACTCGGCTATCGCCTCGTGCGACTCTTACGCTTCTTTCGTGCTTAGCAACCTCCCGCGTACATCCATAACTCAATAGTGCACGCTATGGCGTTTACCATTTGCTATTTTTTTTTCCTCTGGCGTGGACAAGATAGTTTAAACACACCGCAAAGTTAATAAGAACTGGTAATGTTTATAGAGGAGAAGAATCTCGCGGTGCCTTCTATATACCAAGGTTAAATAGAACTAACTCAGTAAAGATTATAGATGGTCAAATAATGAGACGGCCTATGAATTTGTTGGATAATGTTTTGGCTTCTCTGTACCTTTCTCTTGGCGGATTTCTTTGTCGCGTGATCCATCCAGTCTGCAGACTTGAGGTTGTCAATGAAAGCTTTACGAAGTCGGGAAGTCATATCTTTTACCTAAAAAAATAATAATAATAATCAAAGTGACTATGAGCAACTCAACTTGGAAAATGGATCGTTTGTAAATAGTGACAATTTTGATGCCACCGACTTGAGGTTTTAATTCGTAGGTTAAGTTAAAGTTAAAGCCCAGTGGCATTGTTAAGAAATAGTGCAAAACGCAACGGCAAGAGAATACAAGAGGAGATGTAACACTGTTGAAAACACTCATGAAGTTATCGGTCCAAAAGACCGAGTTATCCTCGTCCGAGAGACCGAAACAATTATAAAGAAAGTACCGCTTCTTGTCCAATCACCAAAGCAAGTAATAATTCTCGTTCTTTATTTTCTCAGCCAGTATCAGTGATTTTTTTTCTTTCTTTGTTACCTTTTCTCATCTAAAAAAAAATGTGTTCAGCGTAGAGTCACGATGTCACAAGGACTGCACCACGTCTCGTCCGCTCAACAAAGTTAATCCCTGTTCGTCCGGGTTGGTACTTGGATGGGTAACCAAATACGAATACCCTGTGCTGTAATAATTTCGTTTTTTTTCCTTCCTTTTCCAAGGCGATATTAAAGACTGCAGAACTCCCCGTCTTGTGTAATGTTGTTTCTCCTATTTATCAACCATTTGTTCCTCTTTATGTGTATTTATTTACACTCATCGCACAACTGAATAAACAGCGGAACACGTCGTTCGAATTCTCCTCTATTCTCTTGACTGTTGATCATCTAAAACATTTGATCACGGCTCGAATCATTCCAAAATTCACACAGCTCGTCAATTTTGTGACTTTCAATGTCTTCCTTTTCGGCAATCGAGTATGGTTAAACCTAGTGTATGAGCAGGCACCTTCGGGAAATGAGCTATTTATATAATTGCAGGCAGCTTCTATTTACAAAACGTTCGTACGAAAATGTAGAGCATTTCTGCGGAAAGATATTGAGTACTTTCTTCAGAAATTCAAAGAATAACGAACTTGACACGATGCAAGCGACTGTAAAACGGCCTTAAACAGCGGATGTTTGAAACCCCCGGGGAGGGGGGGACTCCTATATGAATGGTCGGGGATGCTCGTCGTCTCAGGTACGAATCAAGGATTCTGGTCTCACTTATGGTGTTGACGTCGAGACGTCACAATTTTTAGCTGTCAAAGTATCCTTTAGGGTACACTCGAAGAAATAATAATTAAAAGCAACGTTCTCATTTAATTTCTGTTTTTACGCTTGATTTCCGCTGTTCTCTCGAGTACGCGAGTCTGGTCTACAAGTGCGCGCGAAATCCTTTATTGAACAGTAGCTGGTAATCGAACCTATTCCGTTTTAAGTGGTATCTTTTGAGGGTCTAATGAAGCTTGAGAAACTCCCACATTAGTCTCCTTTAGGAGTTAAATTCAAATTTTCCGACGAGCATCCCTGACCTTTTCATTTGGGAAATCTCCTGCGGGGTTTCAAATGTCTAACAGGAAGTGAAGGAGTGAAGGAGTGATGGAGTGATGGAGTGAAAGCCCCTCACCACAACAACTTGGAAAATAATATTTTCCAAGTTAAAAACGAAACAGTCATGTCCCCATCTCCTGCATCTTCAGTGTTACATGATTAGCAGTGAAAGTTAAAGAACTCACACACTCATCGCAAAGAGTAGGGTACGGAGTCCCCGGTGTTTTGGTCTTGCCTTATTTTACGGCTTGGTGCTTCACATAGGATTAACCTCTTTGCACCTTTTCCCCTTGGACAGAAGCGTCTAATAAGAATTGCTACGTATGTTTATGTTTAATCAGTCTCCAAAATACGGGTAGCCGCTGGCACTACAGACTCGTCCTTCTTTGATGAAAAAAGGACCACATTTCTTTATAATGTGATTTGTAACTTTTCATTAGGGGCAGTAAAATCAATATGACGTATTTGCCCTTCCAATGGTGGTACATAAAAAGTAAAGCAAATAACCTAAAATTAAGCACTAACTACTGACTCTCGGCTGGTAAAATTATTCGGGCTACTAGAGAACCAGAAAAACGTTGCAAAGAAAAGTCGTTTGGAAAAGTAGCACTTGTAAGAACAACTACGTCAACCGTTAACATAACAAAAGTACTCCAAGGATTAATTCATTTGACTGTAATTTGCTGGGAAATACGTTTTTCCCATCAACGCTTTTTGTCTCCGTACGAAAATTACGGTAAGCGATAGACACTGCAGAAACAAATTAAGAAGCTGATGGTTTGTCAAGACTGATAATTTATATACCTGTGAACCAATCAGAACACCTGAAGAATGTTAGTCAAAGTTGCATCTTACAGTTGTTTTTGAAGATTCGTCAAAATTCGCATCCACAAACAATCTTCCTAAAGTCATTCCCATTGGTTCTATCATGCTCTCCAGACAGCAAGACCACCTTTTATACTCTCTCACTCCAATTATGGCCTCCTGGAATTGTCGCTTAGCCTGGACAAACTGAGGAGGCATTGACATAGCGTACTTGTCCACAACACGCCATATTATGTAGTTCTTGATAGTGTCCTTGGATCTAAAGTAGAACGGAAACAGGAATCAACGTTCACAAAACCTAGCGTGTAAATATTTCTTTGTGCCCGCGTATCACAAGTTTTCAATGGTTAATCGTGTTGGCTACGTTTTGGTAATTCATCATCGTTTTCGCAACGCTATTCAACAAACAAAACAAATTCCTTTCGCCCAGGCGTTAATTAAGCTGCATAGATCCACCACATTCATGCATGTCTTAACTTGTTGTAGGAGTTTCTAGTGGCTTATTAAATTTGTTCTTATGATCCTTGAGTTTCTGGTAGTCCCTAGAAATGTGTAAACGCAGTCGGAACAGTTCTAGCGTTGAGAATGCATTCGTCATCGCTCCACAGTAGCGCCGCAATATATAAAACAAAACCGAACACAGCCACTTTACAATACGGGTAATAGGGTGCGCTTTATTGTCCTCTACATTATTACCCATACATTTAACATGGTCCGTTTGGGCTAAATAACTCACGTCCATTGGTATTCGTTGGCAATAGTCTGGAACAAATTGAGGTACGCCTGTGACGATGGATAATAGACTGAATCATGTCTATTGCAAGTTATTTTCTGGTGGGAAAACGCAACGTTCAGGAAATCCTCCATAAAGCTGAACTGTAAAACGAAAGGGCACAAATATTGGTTACTGCAAGTTAGATCATTTTCTTGACTTTAAAATTTACCACGACAATAGCATAACTACTTTAAACGGGACCGGTTACTTTGCGAGTTGTGGAGTTGTGGGTTGCGAATTGCAATAAAGGTCCGGTGATACCGGCAACATTTTTCTTCAACTTGTCTCGCAACATTGTTGCATTGCAAGTTGAAACCCCCTGTTGCGCGTATTACTACGTTTGTGACCAACTTATCTCGCAGCAAAATACAGTATTGCAGGTTGAGGCAACATGTTGCACAAAGTAGACTCGAGTTCTACTTTCTACAACAAATTTTAGTTTTGCTGCTCGTATTACCACTGAAGCGACAACTTGTCTCGCAACAAATTTGAGTTCGACCCTTGTAATTGGCTGACACGAAGCGCGGGAAATAAAAAAAAAACATGGCGGACGGTGAAGTCGAGCCTGAATTCGAAATAGACCAGTAACTCTCAGAAAGTCATAAATTTGCCCTGTACAAAGA